ATTAGCAACTGTCAGCCACCTTGCGTGTGATATTTTCCCAGGTTTTTGAAGGCTCAAATCGTTAGGACATTTTCCTGCAGAAACTGCTTGACTGATTTGGTACAAGTACTTCTGATCGGTACTAAGGTCTGTTGTTTCTAATAATACTGGTAGGCTGTTTTCTATTGCAACGAAATTGACGACAGCTTTCTCTTCACAGCGTTCCAGAAGTTTTCCTATTGGCCCTGAAAAACCAAGTGGTCCACTGGTGCGTCCATCTAACTGTTGTATTACATGACGTAGAGGTAGTTCGTTGCAATGAAATAGGCATACTAGCCATTGAAGTGAGGTGCCGCAGTATTCTTCCAGTTTTCTTATAACGCCTACTTGAGGGCTAGTGTTCACTACCGTACCATCGCATCCAACTGCGCTTAACTTCGATATATCAATATTATTTTTCAGGATGAATGTCTGTATGCTATCCGCGATGTTTGCAGCCGATCTTGATAAAGGAGACACGTGCCCATGATATCGAGAGCCTGGTTCTTCAATAATTGTTACATGTTCTTCTGTAAATTCTTTTCTATAAAACTTTTTGCCTTTTTTTTGTTGCAAGACAGTCTTGTCTCTTTACGCCCATCAAAAAATATACTTCTGATTGACAGTCCCTCGTTCTGATTTTGGAGTGAACGTCTATGAGATGCACGCTGTCGCCTTATTTTCATTCTATCAATTACTTTCGATGTATCAGTCACAGTTATAACTCCCATATCTTTTAAGACGTAGATGGTTGGACTGTAACTGTTGACAAAGGGGCAATGAATTCTTCTTCATGATCATCTGCATCAGAAGAATTTGAGTTAGACAAGTTGCTACTTGTACACAACGGTACATGCTTTAAGAACAATTTTTTCAGTATTATATTTTTGAGAACTTGCCTTTGCCTTCGTGGTTCTTTCCATTTTCTTTCTTATTGCAGCAGATGCTGCAATATCCACTGGTCCAATTGCCATTTTTCTACAGGATTGTTGATCTTGAAGAAAAATTCGCTCATTTTGTGGTACTTTCTTGGTTTTATCACAAGTACACTCACACAGTGTTCCACTCATGTTGCACTTGCAAGCCGCGATATCAAATAACTTTTCATACTCATTTCGAAACTGGCAAATCTTATCTTTGTATGAATTAGATGCTTGCTGAGTTTTTGTGTATCGCTTCAGCTTTTGATACTCTGTATAAATATTTTTGATCATATCTTGAATGCGCTTATGCGATAATGTTGGAATAGCAGCTTTTATCCATACTTGTTCTACTTTCGTTGCAACGGCATTCGAGGCGTCGGCGATAGATGGATCTTTATTATTATTTGTTAACTTAAGTTCATTACGAATAAAGAGAAAGCACTTTAGAATGTCACACTTAGTGGGTAAAACACGATCATTGAAAAAACCAATAATTGTTCCTAGTATTTCACAGTTCAAACTACTTCGCGTTGACATTTCGAAGAATATGTTTATATACGACACGTCTGTGTGAGATAAGAAACTCAACATTACTGTTATCTGTTGTTGTGTCACTATGCCTGCGTGAATGGTTGCAAGATTGATGTAACATCTGCGTCTGCGTTTTTCCCTTCTTTACCTACTTGATCTACAACTGGCGTTGTTTGGAACACGTACTTCATACCATCAAGCTTCAATGGCATTATGGATCCTGACAGGAGCGTCATTTGAAATTTTGATATAGGGGTGGGGCAAGCATTATATATACCATACATTATATATGCAATACAAAATTGATCTATTTTTTGTAAATTTCAGTCATTTTCAGGGTCTATCAAATGACGCCTCTGGGACCTGAAAACATCGTTTAATTTCAAAATAATTTTGCATAAAATGCTTTTCAATCCTAAAGACGACTGTTGATCACAGCCAAATCGATTTTTTCAACAAAAATATTTTTTTTGTTTTTTTCATTTTTCAAATCCAATATGGAACCTCAAGATTTTTTTTTATTTCAAAATGCTTTCGCACCGTTTGTTTTCATTACCTAACACAACTTTTAAACGATAGCCACAATCATTTTTCTTTTATTTTATTTTTTTGGCCTTTTTCGTTCCACCCTAATCTACAAGTCCATCCTCAAGCCCATATGGACTTATGGGATTCTGTTATGGGGCAATGCTAGCGTCTCCAATACAAACATCTTACAGAGATTCATCATACAAAACAAGGTGCTGTGTGCCATAGTTATTAACGAGGTGATTCAATACGACATCCGTCTAGAATCGGTGAAAAAAGCCATACAACGTTTTACTGCTAAATACTGTGAACGAGTGCTAGTGCATCTTAATGTGTTTGCTCGACAACTAAATGTGTGGAACGTCTTTGAAGTGCGTAGATTAAGACGGCAACTGCCGTCCGACTTGTGCAACTGAACATAATAAGTGTATTCAAACTAATAAAATTTTAATTTTTAGAATTATAAAGAGGTTACTCACTGAAGTAACTCTCTTAATGTCTGCATTTTTTACCATAACAAATGCTTAATGCCCAATGGGCAGATTGTTGTACTCAATGGAGTTAATAAAAAAAACTTTTTGAGTGGCAACCTATTATCAATGTATTCTCCTAATTTCAAATGTATGTAAAAATATGAGTTTGAATAACTACGTTATGAATGTAGTTATCGTGCAGTGGGATCTTTGGCTATAATAAAATACAGGATGTGTTGGAAACTGCGTCAAAATTCTGTAGTTGTCTGGATCAAACTTACTCGAAAATTTTAAACTTGAATAAAAGAAGTTTTTTAAACTGTGTCACTTAATATGTTCCTATATTTTTGTGTGATTTTATCGTCATAATTTATTTTTTTGGTTTTGCACATTTTGAATTTATTTGTTTATTTGATATCTGTCAAACATATGACGCAATCTAAATTTTCCTTAAATAACAGTATACATACAGTATATACCATGTGATACATTATTTGAAAGTGGGAATAAATTTAAGATATTTACAATTAAACAAAAGCTTTCAAATTATATTTATCACACGCCATGTGTTGTATTTAAGGGAAAAAGTCTATAATTTAAAATTATTTATGAGGTTCAGTCAGAACAACGGAATGAACCAAAGTTTTGCTTTTTTAAATGAAACACTTTATATATTAAAGCATGTATATTTTTTTAAAACATGAAGAGTTTTTATAACGTTTTATAAGTCTAAAGTTAAAAATTTTCGAAATTTTTACACTGTTTTTTAAAAATATGGTAAGATTGAAAGCGCTTGTAAATTTTCCTTAAATAACAGTAAGTTGATGACATGTTATACATTATTTGAAAGTGGAAATAAATTTAAGATAACGTTTACAATTGAAGAAAAGCTTTCAACTTATACAGTATTGCCCAAAATAAACAGTACTCAAACTGAAACATAGATGTCTCTTTGTGCACGCTGTCATATTCCAATTAACTAATAAGGACTAATTGTTAAAAATGGTGTTAAGTACAGAGGGACAGTGTTTCTTGTGGAGCATTATTTCCGCTCATACAGAATCTGTCGGCGTAATAGTGCAAGTCTGCAATACGTGTGTGACCAATTCACACAACGGTTTAATAAACGTTCTCCAAGTAATGCTATAATTTTGAAGGTTGAAAAGTTTAGAAATACGGGTAATGTAATGTGCCAACGAAAAGGACACTCAGGGCGTCCCAGGACAGTTAACAACAATGATAACCATGAACGTGTTTTTGAGCGAATCTTGGAAAATTCGAAAGCCAGCCAGGCTAGAACAACGTTGCATCTTGGCTTAAAACTAACCTCCTGAAGGAGCTTTGTGCTAAGTAAAAAATTACAGCCCAGGGATTATCACAGTAGAGTGGAATTTTGTGCCAGGATTCTTGCATTACAGTATGAAAATCCTAAATTTTTAAAAAGTATGGTTTTCAGACGAAGCAAAATTTTATTTGTCTGGCCATGTAAATCGTCGCACAAATCGATTTCTGGGCTTAGCCAGACCAGATGAAGTTCAAGAAGTTTCTTTACAGAGCGCAAAAGTGAGTGTCTGGTGTGCAGTTTCGGGTCACGGAATGATTGGTCCATACTTTATAGAAGAAAATAGTAGGCAAGTCACACTTAATCAACACAATTATATACAAATTTTAACACGCTTTATCCCTGATCTACGTCAATTTTGTCGTACACGTAACCATAATTTCGAAACCAATTTTTCCAGCAGGATGGGGCAACTTCCCATACTACTGTCGCACTTCGTCAATTTCTTCAGGGACATGTTCCAAACAAATTCATTTCACGATTTACTGACTTTCGCTATCCTGCATATTCTCCAGACTTAACATCTCCAGACGCATACATTTGCATTCCATAACATAAACCTTTATTCCATAACATTACGGGAAATCTGGAATATCGGTATGAAGTCTGTCTTGAGAGAAGACAAGCTCATTTAGAACATGTTATAAAGTGTAAATAATATTTATTTTTTAAAACAATAAAATAATTACAAGTTCAGTACTGTTTATTTTGGGCTATACTGTATTTATCACATACCATAATATATTGTATTTAAGGCAAATTTGGATAACTTAATATTTATGACAGATTTCAATAAACCACGGATGAATTCAATTAGAATATGTGGAAATATAAAAATAATTTAACGTGTTTGAAGTTTTTATAAAAGATAAAACTATTAAATAATTAGAGCAGCCATTATGACATAACACAAATGTTACCCCTACGCAAAGACATACGCATGCGAATAACACGCTACAATTACGTTTCTTATAAACTTGGATTGAAATTGCCTAGGCTGAAAATTGGATATATGGCATATAAAGAAAAAGATGAACTTTCAGGCTTTTTAGATTTTTTTATAGTTAAAAATATTTTAACACTAATTTTGAATAGGAAAGTAGAAATTGGACAAATCTATACTTTCTGCTCATTTGGTTACGTTCCCAAAACAAATGTCAAACTTACCATTTTAACTTATTTTAGATCGATAACGTTCACTATCCATCGTGGCAAGCTCAATTGAGTGGAAGAAAGTTATGGAAGTTGGCACCTCCACCAGAATGTTGGCATACCTGTAGACGAATGGAAGTTGAAGTAAAAACTGGAGAAATAAGTAATTCCATTAAATTTACTATATTCCTCTATTATTTAGCACTTTTTTTGTCAATATGTCAGTATTTTTTTGATTTCCATAATTATTTATCATTTTTATTTGGGTTCACAGTTCAAACGTCAAATTTATTACAGTAGGTAATTTATTTTATTTTATTCCATTTTATTGCATTTACTTTATATTATTCTATCCTATTTTATCTACTTCATGTTATTTTATTTTTAAATTTTATTTATTTTATTTTGTTTTGTTTTATTTTACTCTATTTTATTTTATTCTATTTTATTTTATATATGAATACGCTCTTAAAAAGCCTGTAGGTAGGGTAAGCTATACAGTGATTGGCCACCACTAGCTATTGGCACATTGTCGGTTTTTTACATTATCTTAAGAATATAACGAAATTCACTGACACCTGTTATTATTTTATAATAGAGGCAACCATGTAAAAAATAGTATCTGACTTCATTTTATTACACTATCTAACCTTAAAAACTTATGGACAGATCTATCAGATGGAGTGCTGTGTATCAACATTTTTTATCAAAAATATCGCCAGTAAAAACCGCCAGTATTGGAAGAAAGGATATTTTATAAGGTATCTTTTGTTACATAAAATTTATAGGTTTAAGTTATTTTAGTATATTTAAAATGACTAAATGTAAGACAATAATTGCATGAATGTGCTTTGATTTTATTAAATTATCTATGCCAATCATTGGTGCTAATTTTTTTTTATATTAGACAGTTATTGGCCACCTGGCCATTCACTCTAAAAATACATTTTATTGACAATATTTTATGTTTAGTGATTGACACATAGGTACAGAGAGATTTTTTTGTAGATGCCCAAAGTAAAAGAGGGTGCACAATACGAAAAAAAATATGCCGAAGATGTTTGGCTTGCGTTAAAGGCCATCGAAAATGGGATATCACAAAGAAAAGCTTCCCAAACATTTAAACTACCACGTCAAACTCTTCAATTTAGAAAAAGTGATACGTTTACTAATAAGATAACTTTGGGACCCCCCTCTGTGGCTCAGTGGTAAGAGCGCCTACCTTTAAACCTAAAGTTCGTGAGTTCGAATCTCACCTGGGTGGAAATTTTTGTTTATTAAAAAAAATTAATAAATGAAAATAATTTCTATCCTTGTGTGATCGGTACTCACCGGAGAGACCGCAGACGTTAGGATACAATTAGCGTCTCTTAGCAAAGACAATGACGTCGACTTTGCTAAGTATCAAGACAATTACTCTACACACACAAACACACACACACACACACACACACACACACACACACACACACACACACACACACACACATACACACACACTACATCAATAAACTTATCTTGATTGAGACTGGCTGAATGACATTTGTCCAAGCCAAAACACACACAAAAAAAAACTTTGGGACCAAGCAATATTTTGACCAATGAGACGGAAGGTTCTGCATCTAGTCAAGTAAAAGTCATGCTTATTTATCCGTACAAAAAACTTCCGACTTCTATAGTTAATTCAGTGAATTCTTTATAGGGGAATGGACATAGTGATAATGGTTGGATGAAAGTTGAGTTATTTTATGAGTACATTGGTAATGTTTTGTATCCATATTTAAAAAAAATGGCACTACTTTTCCAATAATCCTTTTTATAGATGGCCATTGGCCATTCTACACATCAAATACTAAAATTTAGTCAACTGTGTATAAAAAATGGGTTTAAAGCAAGTGCATTATATCCATTCAACGCATCAGGTATAGACTTTACCAAATGTCTGGGAATAAAAAGGAAACTAAGATATATTCAGATACAAACGTAAAGAAAAAAGGTTCACCCATCATTCCGTTTATCTCTTCAATTAATTTAAGAAAATAGTTAGCGAAGAGAAAATAGCCATATTTAAAGGAAAGGCCTAATTGAAGAAAAATGTCAGATTGACGAAGCAAGTCATGATGAGTGTATCTTGTTGTATAAATTATATAAAGAATTTGAAAAGAGCAATAGCATCTTAATACGAAAATTCGTGACGATTCAGAAAACCTAGAGACCAGTAGAGCAGTATACACAGAAATAGAAAGTATGGAAATTATTTTCGACGAAAATATACTTTTTGGACTAGATGTAAATAAAGAGGAAAAAGCAACCAACATTTCTCACGTGACAATCATTTCGAAGAAACTGTGGAGACAGTTAAAGGATTACAAACAAATGTACCACAGGAAGAGGATGTAGAACAATATACAGGAAATAAAAAAGAAATTCGGCCTTTACCAGAAGCTATGTTATAATAAATGATATATTAGAAGAAAATATAACACAAGAAAAATCTTTAGATTTATTTATTTATCGTATGGCATACAATAAGAACACACAATTAAAAAATCAATATAAAACGTTACATAAAGTATTACAAACGAACATCTAATGTATTATTAATATAATGTAAAACTTTTCGTAATTCGGTAATCGCCTTCGGGGACATTCTTCAACAATGTGACGGACGGTCTGTCGTTGCGCACCACAGTCACACTCAGGAGTAAGGGCTTTTCCCGCTTTTACCCATCTATATAAGCTGTCAGCACATCTACCGCTGCTTGTTCTTATTCTGTTTAGCGTTGTCCATGTATTGCGGGTCAGTTCAAAGCCTGGCGGTTTCTGATCGATACAGGCCATTTGATGTGCTTCCTGTGGTGAGTCGCTCTCCCATTGTGTTCTCTAAGCTTTGGTCAGGTTGACATGTTCCTGATGTAAGGAGTTGGCTCTTAGCAATGGAGGATATCTGGAGAAAAATTACCTAATAAGGAAAATAAAGAAGAAACCAAGCCTTTAGAAGAAACTGTACCGACATGTGATATATCACAAGAAATTTCAACCCAGGAGGTGCCTGCAGTTGAAGAATCATTTATATGGGATTATAAAGAAAATACCCAAAATAATAGAAACATTCGAGATTCCGTTATTTGGTCTAAAGCACCAGAAAGAAAAGGAAAAAAAGGATTGCCAACGATTACCGTTTGTTTTGACTAGTTCAGGATGGAAAAAATTCGGATGGAAAAAATTCAGATGGAGAAAGTGGCAATTAAAAAACAAGAACAGGAAAAAAAGAAACACGTAAAACAGAAAGATTATCCAAGCAAAAAGAAAAAGCTACAAAAAAAATTGGGAGAAAAAAAATCAAAACAAGAAAGCAAGAAAACGATACAGTGAAAGAAAACAAAAATGAAACTAAATCTAAAAGACCCAAACTGGACATTGACAGCCTGAACAAATACGATAATGTAGCAGGGACAAGCGGATTAAGCAATAATACAAAAATACCTCAACGTCACGTACGAAAAGTATTCAGCAGTTCTAAAAGTGATGATGAACCCCAAAAGAATGACTTTGTTTATAATACAATAACAATAGCTGTCAAAAAAACTTTGTTTCATTTGTACGAAAAATATTACAAATTCAAACAAAGGTATCGGATGCTACAAGTGCAGCCGAACGTATCATAATTTGTGCATTATAAAAATTAGTCCTTCAGTAGATAAGGATAAAAAATTTTTATTGTAAGACTTGTGTTGCTCTATAAATAAAATCTTTAAAAAAATTTTTTTTATCATCTTAACAATAATATATAATAATATCGGAAAATAAATTAATTCGTTTAATTATATAACGTTTATTTACCCATGCCAATTACTGGTATTCAACTGGCCAAAAAGTGAAAGTTAGTGGCCAATCTTTGAATATTTTACAAATAACAAAATGTTTCAAAATTACAAATAAACATTGATTTAAATGACGAAAATATTTTTAAAAATAATTTATCAATAAACTGAAGAAACCAAAAAATAATATTATGGGGTCTGTAAGTGAAATTTTATTAAAAAAAATTAAATTAACTGCATCCACCTTCTTAACTGGCCAATCAATCACTGTATAGTATAAACTACCCTAATGAATTTTGACCAGAGCTATGACCTTGTAAATAACAGGTAAACTTGTGTACTGCATCGTCATGACTCATAGCCCTTGTAAAAATCCATTACCTCTAAAAAACTCTATATATTACAAGATTTAAAAAAAGACTTTTAATAATTTAACTCTGCTTCAAGACATCGAAAGATCAACAATGTTTTTGTTCTATTGCAACAATTCATTTATTTCGGTATTGCAAACAATCAAGTTTTTATGCTTTAAGGTAAAAATATTAAACCAATTCATTTTTACGGTCTTGATTTCTTTACTAAAACACCGGGAAATCCCTAATAATTTGAAACTAATAAGTCACTGGACGAATTCAAGAATCCATTCTCCTCTAAACACTTACTAACATATTTTGGTTTTGAAAAAGATCAATAAACTTTAACCACTGATACGCAAATTAAATTCAATAACCCTATGAAGTGCAAAATTAAGAAAAACTTAAATAAATCAAGATCAAGGTAACATGGAACATGTAACAAACCAATGGCACTGGATAATCTAAATCCAGTAATCTTAGGACTGTATTACAAAATACGTTCCTCCTTGTGGCGAAATACGAAACAATAAATTGTTTAAAAGGTAATTTTTTAAAGTAGAACTTTACAGAAAAATGTAAGCGGGTATTGCAAATTGCATTTTGGTTGCACTAGGTTGCACGGTGAGGTGATATGGTGCTGATGTAAAGGACATTCAAGTGCCAAACATCACAACATATTTTCAGGCCATAATGCATTAAATCATCATCATCAGTTGGCGCTACAACCCTTCGTAAGCCCTGGCCTACTTCAAAACATTCTTCTATCCTTCCCGGTCTAGTGTCTGTCTTCCCCATCGCTTTATTTTAATCTCCCTTCAATCTTCCTGCCATTGTCCAGACATCTGAGTTTAGGTAGCGCGCTTCTTCTTCCGACCGGCTTATTTAGTATGGTTATTTTAACCAAATGACTTTCATCCATCCTCATAATGTGAGCCACCCATCTTAGGCGGTTTGTTTTGATGATTTTTACGATATCTGCATTACCAAAAAGTCTTTAGAGTTCGAAATTATACCGCCTTCTCCACAGACTCTGTTCACTAACTTCTCCATATATGGTCCTCTAAATTAGTTTTTCAAAGATTCGTAGTAACTCTTCATCTTGAGTCGTCATTGTCCATGTTTCCGATCTGTAAGTGAGCACTTTGTTGCTTTTCACACATTTCACGCTCTTAGTTGAGGGTCTAGATCAAAATAACAGCTGTTAGCTACTCATATTCTTTTTCTTATTTCTTTAGATGGGTCGTTTTTACAGTCTACCAGTGACGATGTCGTTTTTGCAGAAGTTAGCTATATAGTAGTAGGTAGAAGTTAAAAATATAGTACTAAATAAACAATGATACTCAGTGATCTTAAGAAAGTGTATGATAAGATATATCTATAAATTCTGCGATAAAGAAGAAATGGCTATTGGAATATGGTAAACGACTATTAGAACATACTGTGTAAAGCCAGAGATAAGTAAAAAAGTAAGTAATTTCACGGATTCTTCGGATCGTTCTTTAATTCCTTGTAATCTTTGAAAGTCTCATTATTTGCTCCCTTGCTGGTGTCCTTTACTCTGCTTCTGCTTTTAGATGTTAAATTTGACCAAGGTTTGAGAGTAGGGTTTTTTATTGTCACCAGAATAAATTTTAGTTGACCATATAGCCATCTTTCGTTAGTGCGTCGGTGAATGTAGAATCCACCTGTAGGTTCCACCGTAAAGTCGATTTTCTTACACTTCTCTACTTCTTAGTATCGAAGTCATTTTATGTCTCTAAGAATCTGGGAATCTTGGGTTGCATTTTTTGGACTATCAGGAAGATAAGTCATAAGTATATTGGTTTAAGGAATGTTACTGACTTCTACGAGTCTGAGTAGATAACTCTGTTGTGGCTGCAGTCTCTGAAATAGGGTTTTTAAATAACTTTATTGTGGCTTTTTACTGACCCTTAAACCTGGTTTTGCCCAAAGATGAAAAGAACGCTCGCTACTTGGACTGACTCAGAGACAGGGTTATAAACGGACAGAAATAATAAGAAGAACAGGCGTCACAGATGTCAGAGAGTGCATAGCATGGCTGAAGTGGAACTGGGCGGGCATGTGGCAAAAATGAATGACGGGCAGCGGATCCAAAAATGACATTAAGGAGACCACGAGCTGGTAGAAGAAGCAGAGGTAGATCACCCACACGATGGACAGACGGCGTCAAAAGAATTTTGAGACCGACAGAACTGAAAGAAAACAGTGGAGGCCTATGTTCAAATTTGGAGGCAGAAGGTTAAATGATGATGATGATAATGATTGTGGCTTTATCATAAAAAAACAGCAGCATTCAGCTGATCTGAACTATAGGTTACTGAGTTTATCCTTTATATGTGCGTTTGAATACATCTCCATTGTTTTGTAAACAATCATATATTTTGTCGCTAATAAGTATTCCACTGAAAGTCACTGGATAATGTTGTGGAAGTATTTTTATTCATATGGCTTTTACGGCATCTCCATAGCATCTCCATTTTCTCTGGTGATTCGGTCTCCAGTTTCATCACCTTTCTTCCTAGGCTGCGCTTCTGGGATATTTTCTCATACTGGATCCTCTTCGATCCTTTGCGTTTATGTTCAACTTCTTCTGGTTACAAGTCTTCTTAATGGCTTTAGGTCCATCTGTCAAGTCTTATTTCTGTCAATAACTTGATTTATCAGATACTTAAACCTTCTTCGCTGTGTCACCCGTTGGTCTCCTTTCAGTTTTTGCTGAATTTCATTATTATTTTTGTGACTAGAGGAACTACTTTTCAGTATGCTTCTTTCTCCCTTGTCTATGGTCCAGTTCCATAGCTTCCTGGATTCATGACCGCGGTTGCGATTTTTTCCCCACTTTTGTCGACTTTCTTCCATTTTTGTCTCACAAGAAGCTAGGCACCACTTGACTAGGCTTAAGTGGTATTTTTTTTACGGTCTTTACTTAAATGGCCCCATTAAGGTAAAACCCTATATCGGTAGGTATTTGCTCATTAGCCACCGATTTACCGATACGATACATACAAGGGAAAAAGCGACAGTGAGATCCAACAACAAATATCGGATCTTAACATCGCCCCTTCCTCTGTCATCCTTATCTTCTTCTCGGTCATTAGCATGTACGACAGAGTATGAAGAATCTTTCCACTATAACCAATGTAATAAAGGTTTTAAGGTAATTGTTGATTATTCACTGTATTATAGCTTTAGATAAGGTGAAAAGTCGAAAAATTTTACAATTAGATTTTTATGTCAAAGAATGTATGTATTTAGAAGAAAATATGTGTTTATTTGCTATCTTTTACAGTTGCAGTTGACACTAATCGTTGGTACCATCAGACAATTGTTCAGCCAGGAGAAATCAGCTTAACTATTGGATCAGAATTTGATTAATGTATGCGTTAATTGAGATAGACGACAGGTGATCATTTGTTTATTTTTGTTGTAAATAAATGTGTCTGTAGATGATTGATTAGTAAAATAATTTTAATACCTTTATCTCACAAGTATATATACAAGGTAATACTATTAGGCAGCGATTTTTCAACACATTTTTTCATAAGAGGGAAAGCCTATTCATTATGTGAAATGTGAATGTGTCAGAACTATGTGAATTAAATATTTACTAAGAACATAATTTGCTGGTGAATGAAACCAAAATATCTGAAAGGGTTAAAAATATTAGATAATGATCACTAAACATTAGCCCAGGATATAACGGGTTTTTGCTCAATTCTTTTTATATGCATGGGTTTGCGTGAAATTTTTTTGACAGTAGGTAGAAAATAGCTTTTGGATCAAAATCCTATACCAATATGAGATTTTCACCGGGCGGGGAGGGGGGGGGTTTGCCACTAAAACTGGGGGATACTGAATTTTAAGACAAATGTTTTTTATATTTTTTCGTGACTAAAAGTTCACAAATTACACGTCATGATTTTCTCGCCCACCGTAATTTTTCTAACCGAGTCAAACAATCTTTGCTAAAGTTAAGGACAGAATTTGAGGAATCTATCATTGCAAGTGGTAATAGTAAAAAAGTTTATCGGTACATTCGTACATCTTTATCTTCTAAAGTCTCCATACCATTGCTTCAAAAAGCTGATGGGTCTTTATGTTCTTCGAATAACGAATCTTCGGAATGTTTATCGTTATTCTTTTCTCAAGTTTTTACAGATGAATCTAACGATACCATTCCTCAAATAATGTGCCCTCGTTTGTCTAAAACTCTTGACAATATATCTTTCATACCGGATGAAATTAAACATCATTTAAGGAAACTGCGAAATAATTCATCACCTGGATTAGACGGACTCACCTCTTTTTTCCTCAAACAATGTGCAGATTCTGTAGCCATCCCTATATCTCTCATAATGACTGCTTCTTTTAATCAAGGTTCCCTACCCTCGTCCTGGAAATTGGCTTCAGTTACTCCTGTATTCAAGAAAGGTAATAAACTTGATTGCAATAATTATCGTCCAATTAGCCTGGTTCCTATTGTTAGCAAGGTCATGGAATCGATTATTTCGGAAGCTATGTCCGAGTTCCTTCTTCAAGAAAATGTCATCCCTCACCAACAGCATGGATTTATCAAAGGTCGTTCAACGATCACAAACTTACTTCATTGTGTAAATGATTGGTCATTATCTTTAAACAATCGGAATCCTGTCGATGTAGTTTACTTAGACTTCTCCAAAGCTTTCGATCGTGTTCCAAAACGTCGATTACTAGCTAAATTGGATCACTATGGTATCCGCGGAAAATTAAACATTTGGATACAAGATTTTCTATCCGACAGATACTTCAGGGTTCGTGTTGGGGAAGACCACTCATTAGATAAGCCAGTCAAGAGTGGAGTTCCACAAGGATCAGTACTTGGACCGCTACTTTTTTGTGTCTACATTAGTGATCTTCCGCTCATTGTATTCAGTAAGGTTTCCATTTACGCTGATGACACTAAGTTATATGTGAATCCAACTATTAACCAACATATTCTTCAACAAGATCTTGACGCAATATTCAAATGGTCCTCAGAATGGTTACTTCCGCTTAACATTGAAAAATGCGTTGTCTTACATATCGTCAAAAATAACCCATCACTTCCGTACTTTATTAATGGACATCCTTCCTTTAAACTCTGTAACCTCACACAACGATCTCGGAGTGATAATTAATAGTGACTTAAATTTATCTAATCACATAGTGTCGGTGTGTAAACGTGCTAACTCGAAACTGTTTTTGATTCGTAAGTGTTTTGCACGCATATCTCTAACCTCTGTTAGTAAACTTTACTCAATATACGTTAGACCTATTCTTGAGCTTGTCGGACCAGTGTGGAATCCAGATCTTAGTCGCGATAAAATCCTACTTGAAAACGTTCAGCGTAAAGCCACAAGACTGGCATATGGCCGTGTAAGACCTAACTATGAAGATAGACTATTCATGGCTCATCTAACGACATTCGAGCAGCGACGTCTTCGAGGTGACCTAATTATGTCCTTCCGTATTTTAAAACATAATTTTGGGAACCTAAACAACATATTCACTTTGAATGAAGACGATAGATTAAGAGGCCATCGATACAAATTAAATAGGGAACAAACTACTGCAAGGTCCAGGGCGAACTTCTTGCCAAACAGAATCTTTAATATCTGGAACAATTTGGATCAAGACACCATATCGGCAGCTAGTGTTAACATCTTTAAAAATAAACTTGATAGCACTTTATTTTTTTTATAGGATAGGATATCTTTTCTCGGACAGCATTATTTATTTATCTATTGTGTCACAATTCAATTTTCGTTAATTGTTTAACTACTTAACTTTATAATTAGTATTAGTTTTATATGGATCTATTTTATTTTTGTTTATTTTTGCTTTTTGGGCATAATAGGAGCTCGCTCCTCTGCCATTATTTGTTATATAATAATAATAATAATAATAATAAAAAACATGATTTTAAACGGGTTTTCCGAATAACTACAAAAAATTAGATTTTATCGGGAAAACTGTTTGGGTATAAAATTAAGCTAATAAAACAAAAATATTCGTTTTTAATTGTTACCTTAAACTTAATATTAACAAAGTTATGGCTGTTTGAAAGTGGACTTTTATTCATCAAATACAAAAATCTAAACATATGATGTGGAATAACCGAAAAACTTTAGGTTTTTCATGGAAAACTTATAAAAACTATTTAAAGATCTTACAAAATGCTTTTAAAGATGACTGGTAAAAGTGACTTGTATAAAAATTAAGGTAAGTTATAACTAAAATAATGTCCGCTTATATTTTTGTGACGCAGAAAGTAACAAACTCGCCTCCGCGAAAGCCACCATGGATTACACTATTGGTTGTTTATTTACAATTTACTTCATTTATACACAAACATTCTGGAATTAAATAATAAATAATAAATTAAAATTACATTCTGGAAATTTAACTACTTTAGAAGGTTTAGTTTTAAAAAAATCGGAGTTTAAAGTGAAGGCACCGTTTTCGGAATTTCTCAAAAAATACCATTTTTGTCAAAATATCTCAACAACTAAAAAAGATAAAAAACAATGTTAGAATATAAAAAATAGTATATTAAAGTAGGTGGGGTTCAAATTTTTTCTTTCATCAAAGGATTCAAAGGAGTAGTGATGCGCAATATAATGAGTTGCTTTCTGATAACACCTCTAGCCACTTCTACTCAATTCCTATCCTCACCTCCAAGAATTGTGACTTAATCACACGGGTGGACCCTGGCAAACCTGAAACACCCTACTGGAGATTGGGTAACCAACCCCAGACTAAACTAGGGTCAGGGCAGGCGAGGAAGTTAGAAATGGTCCTCCGAAAAGGGGGTTGGGCATAGGGCTAACAATCCTGTTCTAGAAAACACACATGTTACGAATGTTTAAATAAAGAAAACCGGACTGATTAAACGACGACGACTGCGGGAGAAAAAGGTACATGATTTAAGAGTCGTGTCATGGAACATCCGATCCCTATACAGATCAGGAGCCCTCCAAAATCTGCTCGGTGAACTGAATAGATATGACATACATATAACAGCTCTGCAGGAAATGAGATGAGCCGGAAGTGGCACCATTGACAAAAGACACCACATTATATTTTATAGTTGCGACGCTAAAGACCACTCACTAGGTACTGTGCACTAGGTACTGTACTGAGGGAAGAGAAGAAAATACATCAAAGAAAGAAAAGAGAAAAAGAACTCCAAGAAATGGAAGAACTAAATAAATGATCAGAAACCAGAAAATTCAACCAAAAACTTAATAAAAGTAGAAAAGAATTTAAACCAAAAACAATAATGTGAAGAAACAAAGAAGGAGATATAGTAACTCAGAAGAGTGAAATACTACAAAGATTGACAGAATTCCTCAAAGAAAAGTTTGAAAAAAAAACAAAGATTCAAAAAACAAAGATCAAACGGATACCAGAGAAACAACCCCCTTCAGCCCCGTAGCTGAAATGTACGAAGCAGTTACCAGATTAAAAAACAACAATTCACCTGAATTAGACAACATTAGCGCAGAATTAATAAAGGAAGGTGGAGACTCTCTATTGAATGCGATACACGAACTAATAGTGAACATATAGAATAATAAACAACTGAGACAAGACTAAAATACCAGAGTAATTATCCCACTACATCAAAAGGGAGATCAGCTTCAATGTAAAAACTACCTGGCAATAACGCTACTAATTGTGGCATATAAAGTATTGTCAAATATTCTGTATGACCGATTGAGACCATATGTGGAACAAATAGTTGGGGAATATCAATGTGGTTTCCGCAGGCAGAAGTCCACAATAGATCAGATCTTCGTCTTAAAGCAAATCTTGGAAAAGACAAGTGAATTTATTATAGACACACATCATCTTTTCATTGATGTTGAGAGTGCCTATGATAGCATCCATCGAGAATTTCTGATCCATGCACTGAAAGAGTTTAATATTCCAACTCAACTCATTAATATAATAAAAGGAACACTTAAATTACAAAGCAAAATTCAAAACGAACTAACAGACACAATCCATGTGAGAACGGGCCTACGACAGGGAGATGCCATATCCTGTATTCTATTCAACGTCACATTAGAGAAAATAAATAGAGTCAAAAGTCAACACCAGAGGAACAATAATAAGAAAAAGTGTACAAATATTTGCATTTGCAGATGATGCTTAAACATTAACGAAATAAAAACCAAATACATGAAGGCCAGTAAATCGACAGGCCAAAGAAACCTACAGAATTTGACAATAGGAGACTATAACATCGAAAGCGTGAAAATTTTTACATATCTAGATTCACTAGTTACCGCAGATAACAATGTCAGTGAAGAAGTTAAGAGAATACACATCGCTAATAAAACATATAATGGACTAATTAAACATCTTAGATCTAACAACATCACAAAAAAAACCAAATGACCAAAAAAGACCCAGATAAAACCGGT